CTCAATCGCCTTATCTTCCTCATCATGATGACAATACATAGCAATCATGGAGTTGTAGGTAGATGTATTAATGGAAACACCAAGCTCTGGCATCTCGACTCTGAAAACCCGCTCAGCTTCTTCTAACCGACCAGATCGAGCAAGAGTGTGAATCAAACAGTTGTAGAAAAGAGAATCAGGTTGACAACCAGATCTTTTCATCCTTGTAGCTACCCGTAAAGCCTCCTCAAACTCTTTCTGTGCATTAAGAGAAGACATTATAGTTGTGTAAGTAATAGAATTTGGAGGAGACCCATTTGCTTCCATTTCACTTAGCATCTCATAGACCTTGACAAACTCAGACTGCTGGCAATAACACCTTATAATAGTCGTATAGCTAATAACACAAGGACGAAAACCATGGCCTTTCATCTCTTGGATCGTCCAAAGAGCTTCCTCGACTCTATTTGCCTTACACCAACCGTGAATGAAGATATTAAACGTATGAGCATTTGGTGTAATATGTGACTTAAGCTCTAGCAAAACTACTCGAGCCTGCTCAACTCTTTTCTCCTTGCAAAGTGTATCAAGCAACAAATTCATCGATTCGGTGTTCTTCTCCAATCCAAATTCACCCAACTTATCAAATATTCCCACAGCTTCTTCCCATTCCCCTGCACCAGCAAATCTCCTCATGATCTTAGCAATCGTATTCAAAGTAACAAGCTTATCTCCTCTCATTCTCTCCACAAACACCTTCAACCGATCCCATTTCTTCGCCTTCCCGAGAATATCCACCGCCATATCATAAGCATCATTCGAATGTTTATGCCCTTTACAAGACTCAGCCCAGTTCAAAACACCAAGCGCAGATTTCCAATCATCTCTAAACCTATGAAGCAGCTTATAAACCAAACCATCAGAGAGATTAACTCTGTTACATATCTCATCGTTAGATAGACGTTTAAAAACATCATCTTCACTATCTCTATCACCGTCTCTACCTACAATAACATTCCATATCTCCTCAGACTGTGAAGATTCATCAAGAGGTAATTGCTCCGAGGCTGTAGAAAGATTCTTGATGAACGTAGAGAAAATAGCGATAGAAGACGAAGAAGGTTTAAGGCGTAACAAGGTGTTTCCAATGCGATTTTGAATAAGCCAAGACATCAAATCTAAAACCCAGAACAGGGTTCTTCAACTGCAACCACAGAAAAAATCCAATTTTTATCTTCAACAATGAAATTTGAATCTTAATGGTGACATAGAACGAAATATAACAGAGACATGGAAATCAAAACTCGTACCTGAACGCTGGAGCAAAGGGAAAAGATGAAAAACAACGACGGCCGTCTCGCCGGAGAGATTTTGACGAGGACTAATCGCAAGAGAAGGGTTTTATCTTTGGCCCAAAGAACATGACATGGCCCATCTAAAGCCCATTACAGAACCGGTTAGGCTTTGTGTTTGGAAAAATCTTGTAGTGATAGTATTTGAGACCAATGGAGAAGAACACAGAAGCTTCGTGTGTCTGATATATCTACGACATTACTACTTAAACAAGCTTCTTGTGCCTATTTACATAGCTACTTAATTTAAAACAAATTTAAGAACATAAACGTAATCAACAGCAAGAAAATAAGGCTCCTCTGCATCAGTCTTTTCCGTGAAGCTTCTGAGTAAGTATTGAATATGTTCGAGGACTGAAATTGCAACCATTTTTTTCCATTTCTTCGAACAGTTGAGAAAATTCTTCTACAAGTCCCTGCTTGAGCATACCATCAATGAGGATTTTCCAAGCTATTTCATCATCGTTGTAACCACATCCACGAAGCTTCTTGAAAACTGAATTTCCTCTCTCTGTTTCTCCTTCTTCATAGAGTCCACAAATCAACGTTTTGCAATGCTCTAACTGCGGTGAGTGACCACTGCATATCATATCTTCAACAATATTTGCAGCTTCTCCATACTTTTGTAGCTTGCAGCAACAGCTAATCACTGCATTAAAAACCATCTCACTAGGAGATATTCCTTCTTTTTGCATCTGATCCAACAGCTTCAGTGCTATTCCTAGATTCTCGACTTTACAGATTCCCGATATGAGCTTCTCATAGCATTTAGAATCAGGTGTACACCCATGTTTTTCCATCTCCTCAAAAAGTTCGATAACAATATCAAACTCCATCATCTTCCACATATTACTACCCGGCACATCCCCAAAATTAGACACCGACTCTACTCCTGTTTCACCGCTTTTCTCTACTACATATCTCTTGTCGAACAGCTGTTTGATCAGAGATAAAAATGTATGGTGAGAAGGTTCACAGTCAGCATCAAACATGCTCTTCAGAACATCAAACGCAGAATATGTCAGTCCTAGTTTTCCATAAGCTTTGATCAGTGATGTATAAGTGAAATCATCTGGAGGAACACCTTCTTCCTTCATCTGCACCATCATATCCTCCGCTTCTTGCACTTTCCCTGCACTACAATACACCTCGATAAACGCGTTGTAAGTACGTGCAACAGGCTTCTCTCCAGATGACATCATTTTTTGAAGACATTTATGGGCATCATCAAAATCTCCTTGTTTTAGCATTCGTCCAATCAGAATATTAAATGTGTAGACTGTAGGCTTTAGACCCATCTTCACCATCTGATCAAACAGTGACAAGGCTTCTTTCAAATTTCCAGCACTGCATAGCCCATGAATCAGGGCATTAAAAGTATAAGCATTCGGCGAGCAATTCTTACTCAGCATTTTCTCAAACAAACAACCAGCCTCGTCCACTTTCCCAACTTTACAGTATCCGTCAATCAGAACAGAGTACATGATGACATTCGCACTCACTCCTTCCTCCGTAAGAGAATCAAACAAGCGACGAGCTTCTTCTACCCGGTTACTTTTACACAGAAAATCAATGAAACACCCATAAGTCCGCTGGTCCGGAACCAATCCTCTTTCTTTCATCAAACTAAGCAACCTATAAGCACTATCCAAATGACCAGCTCTACACTGTCCAGCAATCAACGAATTATAAGTAATCAGATCCGGAACCAAATTACGCTCTAACATCTCATCAAGAAGTCCCATTGCCTTATGCACATTCTTCCTACAAAGTCCCTTAATCAATGCAGTATACGTATAAACATTAGGATAACAACAATCATCCTTCATTCTCACAAACAAGCTCACAGCTTCATCGATCCTCCCAGCTTCACAAAGACCATGTATAAGCTGATTGTAAGAAACCTCATTTCTATTAGGCATCTCTTCAAAAACCCGAAAAGCCGAATCGACATCTTTACTTCTACAATACCCGAGAATAAAAGATGTAGATGTGAAGTAATCAGGACTCAATCCAGCTTGAATCATCTTACACATAAACTGCTTAGCCTCTTTCACAAATCCCATCTTACAATACACATTAATCATCAAATTAAACGTGTAGATATCCATAGAAACGAATTCCTCCAACATCTCAGTATAAAGTTGATTCATTTCATCAACCAAACCAAATCTAGCCAACAGAGTCAACAATTCGTTATAGCATTTGAGACTAAGCTTGGTAATATCGTCTTTACTCATTTTCCGGCAGATGTCAGAAACAAACAAAGCGTCTGGCGCTGAATAGCAACACTTAATCATTGACACTATGATCTTAGGCACGTCAGAGACAATTTTATGGTGATCGATGAGAGTGAGCAGAGATGCATAAGAATCTACATTGTGTTTGAAATTCGGCGTCTGTGAGATCCAATACGAGAATTGAAGAGCTGTGTGAGGATCGAGATTGAGAGAGAAGAGTGATGAGACATGGGAAGGGGTTATGGCGGGAAGCAAGGATTTGAGAGAGGGATTGTTTTGCCAATTGGGTTTGGAGAGAATTGAGAGTAAGTGATGTGGAAGATGAGATGGGTCAGATTCTGCTTCTGGAGGAGTATGTAGAAGCGTAGATGTGGAGGAGAACGGAATCCGACGGAGGAGGTAGCCGGCGCGTGTAGAGGAGGTCACCGGGAGTTTCATCGATAGGGTTTCTTCCAAGTATCTTCTTTTCTCGGTGATAGTATCTTTAGAACTTACACTAATTAGACAAAAAAAAAAAAAATTACCCTTTTTCTGTCATCATTTACTATTTTATCGTTTTATACGAAATCTTGGTCTGTAGACAATTTGTGACTTTCAGAGAGATTAAAGGCAATTGCCTAATAGGCCACCAAAATGAAAAGCATTAAAAGGCTACATTTTATTCAAAAATTAGATATATGTATTTAGTTTAATAGTATGTATTAGAGCTTTTGTTTGAGATATGCATAAAATTAATTAAAAAAAAAAGTTAACAAGGAAGATTAAATGGTTAACTATGAAATTTTTTGTTTGACATATAAATCAATCTACTTGATGTGTTTGGACTTTGGACACTAGGTTTCCAACTGAAAAATTAATCAACCATAAGTAGATTGATTTATGTGCCGTATATTAGGACCTCCCCATTTTTCGATGCGGATGCGTATAAATAATTGAAGTATTATACGAGAATGGGTTTAAAACTATTACATGGTTTAATAATTTGTTCAAGATGCCTTTATAGATGAACATATCTTTTTTATTTCGAAAAAGCACAAATCTGTTAATGAATTTCTTAGGTTTCAATTATTTTTATGTTTTGAGAAGAATATATAACAAACGGCAAACATGAAATGCTTTTCATTAAAACATGAGTCTACAAACTCCCATCACCTCGTATGAAGAAACAAAAAAGTTCCAAGTTTTAAAGAAAATTTATTAGATAAACTAAGGAGGAAAAGAAACTAGAATGTCCTTAATCTGGCAAATAAGTTTTATGGATGCGTTAATCTCTTATGATTATAAGTATATATCTCACCTTTCTTGTATTTGCTATATATATGATCATCAACAAGAGCTCGAATGGTGAACAACACAAGCACAAATTCATCCATAACAAAACGTTTCAGGTTCGTTCAGATTTGATTTAGTATATAGAAAAAAAGAGAAGTGAAACAAAATGAAAAACCATAAGTAACTCAATATATCAAAAGCCAAAAACGAAAGGGCTTCAGTAAAACACCGGTCTACAAACTCCCATCAACTCACATGAATGAGAATTAAGAAAACCAAAAAAAAAAAAAAAGGGTTCCAAGTTCAAAGAAATTTTATTCGAAAACGACAAAGTCAGACCATAAAAGAGGATGAACAGATGACTTTCCACTCCTCGCCGTTCGAGATCTGCTTCTTAGCTTAGGCCTTTGACATGTGAACGATCAAGTCGACCACTCGGGAACTGTAACCCCATTCGTTGTCGTACCATGACACCAATTTCACAAACTTGTCGCTCAATGCAATTCCAGCCTTGGCGTCAAAAATGCTCGACCTGTTGTCACCAACGAAGTCAGTTGAGACAACATCATCCTCGGTGTATCCAAGGATTCCCTTAAGTTTGCCTTCAGATTCCTCCCTGTATATTGGTGGTAAGAACACCAAGTGAGTAAATTTGATCACTACTGGAATATAAGTAAACTTAATCTGTCATTGCCCTTTAGCTTACTTGATAGCCTTTTTGATTTCATCATAGGTAGCAGCTTTCTCGAGCCTGACAGTAAGGTCAACAACTGAGACATCAACGGTTGGGACGCGGAAAGACATTCCGGTCAACTTTCCGTTAAGGGCTGGAAGCACCTTTCCGACAGCCTTGGCAGCTCCAGTGCTGCTGGGAATAATGTTGAATGAAGCAGCTCTTCCACCTCTCCAGTCCTTCATTGATGGACCATCAACAGTCTTCTGAGTAGCTGAAATCATAAAGCAAAACCTATTTAGATCACAATATTCCATCTATAATTACGCTAATAAGTTTGAAAAAACTTCTAACTGATTGAGAAATTTACCAGTGATAGAGTGGACTGTTGTCATAAGACCTTCAACAATTCCAAACCTGTCGTTGATAACCTACACAATGAAACCCAAGAATGTTAATGAAATTAGTCACTTAAACTTGAAATACAAAGTCAAATTGATCTTATAGACTATCAGATATTTTACCTTGGCAAGGGGAGCAAGGCAGTTAGTGGTGCAGCTAGCGTTGGAGACAATGTCAAGGTCGGACTTGTATTCGTGCTCGTTGACACCAACAACAAACATGGGTGCGTCTTTGCTGGGGGCAGAGATGACAACCTTCTTGGCCCCACCCTAAACAAACAACAAGTCACTCAGTTAGTTGAATGATACTTAGCAAATTCTAGCACATGGAAGCAATTTATATCAGTACTACACATAAATAACCAATTCAAATAAGACAAACCTTCAAGTGAGCAGCAGCCTTGTCCTTGTCAGTGAAGACACCGGTAGACTCAACAACGTAGTCAGCTCCAGCCTCGGCCCATGGGATATCCTCAGGGTTCCTTCACAAATACCAAAAACTAATGAGATTGAAATTCCCAACAGTTTATACATGCAAGGAGGCAGAGAACTGGTTGATAAATGTACCTGATGCCGAAAACAGTGACTGGCTTCTCACCGAAGAGAAGGGTCTTCTCATCCTTGATCTTGAGTTCATTGTGTTTCCATTGACCGTGAACACTGTCATACTTGAACATGTAGGTCTGCAGCAATCAAAGACAACATAATCAATTAAAACGTTCAAAAATCAACTCAATCATATCAACTTTAATCACAAACAGGCCAATTAATAACATTACATAGACATTAAAAACAATCAACAGCTCAACAAATATTCTGAGAAGCTAAACAATATGAACAAAGAACACTAAACCAGTTTCCGGATCTGAGAACTAATAGAACAAATCATCTGACACCTAAAACACACATGCATAATCTATATGGATACGATCCATCTTCCAAATCTAACGAGAGTATCATCAAGGTATCAGAGGGACTAAGAGAATCTTATCATCAAGGTATCAAAATGGTATTTAACCGATCACTTTCAAAACCAAGGAAGAACACTAACCATGTACTCAGTGGTGATGAAGGGGTCGTTAACAGCAACGAGCTCAACATCGTCCCTCTGAAGAACAACTCTAGCAACCAAACGACCGATTCTTCCGAATCCTAACGATTACAGAAACCAAAAGTCAGATTCTAGATCTATCTATACGAGAATCAACAAACCCTAAAAATTAAAAAATTCAATCCGAAACTCACCGTTGATTCCGATCTTAATCTTCTTGTCAGCTACATAACAAAACAAACCAAATCAGAAAAACGATCAGATCAGAAAACAAAACACCGTAAATAGCAGCGACGGAACGAGAGATCAGTATTAGCTCGAGACTCACCCATTGTTTGAATCGAAAACGCGAGTGTGTAAGAGAGGTTGAAGATGAGATTCACAGAGAGATATTTAACAGTGAGATAGGTGAGTGAGAAGGGTCCGTGAAGGGTCTATTTAAAAGAGAGAAGAACGTGGAGGAGGGGTCGGAATGATCTAGTGGCTGAGAGTTTTTCTTGGCCAAAAAGTCAGATCTGATTCTATACTTTTCTTAAGCTAAAAGACCTAATTACCCTTGATATTTTCCTTATTTACCGTTGTAGCTTTGTTATTTTGGCAAATGTCGTCATTCCTGAGGCGAGACATGGCAACTGCATCTCACGCGCTAATCTAGAATATTCTTTAAATACTTAAGACGGGTCGGGTCGGCATGAAACGCAGCGTATTGTAACATGCTTTTATGCGCCGACCAGTGTTTGACTGCCACGAGTGCACGAGAGGCCCATTTTAGTAGACGGGTTCCAATTTCTAGAACGTAACGCCCAAATAAAAAATATTTAAGAAAAGTATATAATTCAACTCTTTAGGATACTTTCTTTATAAAAATATATATGATGGATGTATATGGACAAGAATTTAAAAATTTTGATTTGATAACCAATGTCAATTTAAAAACTTTCAAAAAAAAAAAGAAAGTCTCGATCAAAACTCTACTAGCTAGTGATGTATTTAATTCAAAAAATACTTCGTGATGGGTGAATAATTTTAGTATTTACGTGAGTTAAATTATTACATGTGAATTTCTACGGAAAAACAAGTATTACATGTAACATTCTTCAAACTTTACAAATGTGCTTTGTTGTTACTTATGACTTGGTCCACTCCTCTCCCGATCAGTTGCTATACTAGAGCTTATGAATGATGGATCACTTTTTACTTATAGAAGCTTTGAAATTTGGTGAATAGTCGTGATACCTCTTGACGCATATGAAAGAGATGCAGGGCTAGTACTAGAACATGAGCAACTCCCGCAATGATGAACAAACCGCGCAACTCTCGGAAGGTGAATCGCTTAGATGCCTCATCATCGTCGATGGTAGATGCAACTTCCTCGGTGTTGGAATGTACATTTAGTGAATCCAGTTTTTGAAACCATTTTTTCTCCATGTCTTTCAGCATTCCCAATGACCTTAGCTTCGCGATTTCTCGCGATACTTTAGGAACCAAATCCGAACCTTTCTGGAACATCTGAGATGTAAACATAGTAAATAAGGAATTAGTAACCAATAATGGAGAGAAAATGAGAGGTTTGAGGAGAAAGGTACATACAAAGCCAAAGCCATTGGTATTAGTCACTCTATCAGTCATTACGAAATCATTGGGATAATTTCCGATAAGGATACTGAGATACGGTATTTCATTGATGACATGACTAAGAGTTCCATCTCGTAAAAGTTGTGCATATGCCTCAACTGCATTAATGGATCCGAGCTTCGCAGTCATTGACGTTGTAGATCCCCCGAAAACCATCTGATGATTTAATTGCATGCGAGAAATGGTCTTGGTTGATGTCAAATTTGCGCCGTAACTTGAAGTCAATATTAACACCACAAAAACCCAAACTATGACTAAGAATCTTGATGACATTTTTTGTAGCTTCTCTCCTGTTAAGAATGGCCTTTGTTAAAGATCAAAGTATACAAAAGAATGGAATTTAGTTAAGAGTACTCTTAACATAAAAACTTACTGTGAGCAAACACAATGGTAGAGAATCCAAACCAGAGCATCATACTAAGTTGTTGTCCCCAAGAGCCCTGAAATTCCGGATTAACGGACCGTTCAACCAACCAAACAACAATCCCAGTCAAGACGAAGAAAGCTCCACTTGCTAGCCACAAGGATTTTTCAAAAGGATCAAAGAAAGTCCACATTCCTTGGCTTTTCTTTTTTACTGTCAAGATTCCAATACCAATGTCTGTGTAAGGCAAAGTAAAATCAACATACAAAGATCTGTTGGAAGTGATGGTGATATCACCAACTGCTGCATCATATTTGTCACTCTGTCAGAAATAGAAAAATTGCAAAAACACATTATTAGACACATACATACCATTGTGACTAGAAATGTTTTTAACCATGTTGTTGGCATTTGCATACCTGAGTAGAGAGTAGATAAGCAAGATTGTCATTGTTTCCACGATAAGGTATGAATTCAAGCTCGTAGTTAAAAGGAGCAATGCAAGTCTTGAAAACCTCTACGCAGAATCCTGAGACTGTATTAACACCTGTTTCAGGATCAGGACGCACCGACACTAGATTCGGGACCTTGTTTCCTGCGGTAACTAAGATCCTAAGCACTTTCTTTTCACCATTCTCTGCCAAAACACGGTGTCTTGGGATCTTACGAGACCCGCCAGGCCAAACAATCTGTCTTCTTCTCTGTTTTTCTCTTCCAATATTCACGATTTCAAATGTCTCTGAGATAAATTTGTTGTCAGAGATTTGGATGACACCACTCAAACCCTTGAATCTACTATTTCTAATTGTCTTAAGAAGATCTGATACATTCGAAGATGCTTCAGCTTTACCTCTTACACTAATCTTCTCTACTGCAATTGCTAGAATACAAGCTATATCGTGTGCTCGTAAACCGATGATTTTACTAGAATGCTCTGTTTCTGTATCATCACCCATAAGTTTCTTCAATCTTGAAGTAAAATTCGTAACTTCTTCGGATACAGGAATGTAAGGTTTGAAACCAATGACCCCTTGCATTGACCTGGTTGTTTCAAAATATTCCAAGTAGTTCATGGTTCTCACAGTGAGGATCCAAGCAAACCCTTCTTCCGTCAAACCTAACTTCTCAACGCATCGAAAAAGACGAGAAACAAGAAACTCAGACATATGCACCACGAAAACTGTTGTTCTTGATACCTTGAGCTTCCTTAGCTGATTCATCATATGATTTTCTCCTGATGATGAGACTGCAAAAGAAGCAGAACGAGCGATATGGATTCCTTTATCTTGAAAATTCTCCACCAATATTTGCAAACTCTCTCTCCAGTCATCAGCATCCTCGTATATAACCACAACCGATTTACAACTGAAATCTTGTATGAGACTCATAATCCCCTTAGCCTCTGACGTCGTATCATGCGTCCATTGAATAAAGTGATCGTATTTGTTCAAAGATAACGTGTTTGGCAAGAAAGTAGATATGACCGGAACGTTAGCTTTTTCGCTAATCGTGGCCAAAAGCTTTGCTTCCTGTAATGATTGTGCACCAACAATGGCTTCCACTTTTGCATTTTTGAGAAGATCAGTAGCTGTTTCATACAATAAAAATTGTAGTGCAAAACGGTTAGTCAGGTGACGCAAGACATGAAAATGTTAACCGGAGTAAACCGGCACGACTTGGTCAATTCTTTTTTATTTGATTCGGTCTGCTTAAGAGTTGTGGATCCTACCAAAAAGATATATTAAGAAAAATGCAATAATTGAATAAGGGAGATGAAACTCACCGGCGGCAAGAGCAATGATCGGGTCTCCTTGGGAGTCTCTGACCAAAATAGAGACTCTGGTTCGGTATCCATTGTTGATGCCATAGAAATCTGAAAGCGCTAAGTTAAGAGATGTTACCAGAATCTTGCCTTGTGTAGAACTCAAGTCAACCACCAATCCAACCCTAACCTCTTCGAAAGCATCGTCGTTAGGACCAGCTACTACACTGGAAAAGAGAAGAGCAAGAATGGCAATAGAAATCAGAATCTCCATTTAACTTCTTGTATAGCTTTGTACCGTTCGCTCAGGATTATAGAAAATGGTGTTTCGATATCTACTTGTGCAATGGGTCCATGGAATAACTTCTTATACTTGACTTTTTATTTTTTTCTGTCAAATGCAGTTGGATTTTTCTGGAGTGTATGGTCAAAATCATTTTAAATCAAACTAACGCGATATCACACATAATCAAAGTCAATGCGTACTGTTCATCGACACAAATTGTTCGAGACAAATTGACTAGGAGATATATAAACACACATTTGTTTTCTAAAGTATAGTTGAGCCTTAAACAAAAAGAATTGTTTAATTTATGCTTTCAGCAGTTAATTTTTACAATTTAATACAATGTAAATTAAATATGCAGGGGAAGCCATAATACTAGATATATTAGCTTATTTAACAGAGTCAATTCGTAGTGTAGTAAATATTACATGTAACATTCATTTTAAGTTTAAATATAACTCTGCCGATATTTATACCGCGCGCAGCTTATGAATGATGGATCCTTTTACTTATAAAAGCTTTGCAATATGGTGAATTCGTAAACTCTTTTGCCTTTCACAACTTTTGCTTTTTTTTTTATTGAATTGATTTGGTTACACATGCGATGTCTACAAAAAAAAAAAAAAAAAAAAGTTGTTTACATTATTTATTTTTAATATTTGAATCAGTTATAAATGATGTAAAAAGTTTTTACATCACTTAAAAATAAATGACTTTAAAAGTAGTGATGCAAATAATTTACCAATTGGTTAATAACCGATGTCAATATACAAAATATTTACATTGATTCTTGTAATCCATATATGGGTTAGTTGCAAAAAAATATGCTAATTTTTACATCAAATTTAATTAAGTGATGTTAGAATTAGTTAATTAAACATCATAATTCCGAATTACCTTTTCATTTCTTATTCATAAATTTTAAATAATGTTGTTTTTTAAAGATAAAAAAAATTCACATCTTTATATATTTCGGATCTAAAAATCTTGCGATAAAAAATTTAGATAAAAATTTGCGATAAACAATTTAGATTAAAAAATGAAGGATAAAAATTTGCGATAAACAGTTTAAATAAATAATTAAAAAAAAAAAAGCTAACATGATTTTTGCAAAATATCCAATTTGTGACGACCCTAACGCTCGAATTTGTCACCACTTCGCTCAATCTTTCAACTTTTGAAAACTGAAACTCTTTTTTCTCAACTCCGTTAGATAATAGGGATATACTTGAGACGATCGAGCTTCGTCAAATGGAGACGGCTCATGCAGTAGACGAAGAAATTTCAATCATCAAGTATGAATATGTATGATCATGCTTCACGATCGAACAGACGAACACCACCAGACAGTCGACGTCCCACACGAACAGAAGATGAACCACCGTCTTTTCCCAATCGTAAGAGAGCCATATTGTCGCATAAGTTATCACGTAACTCGACAATCGCTTGGTGCCTTTGCTTCAGCTCCTCCACGCTCAAGCCTTTCGAAGGAAAGTTCCACCACATTTTGTCTAACTTCTTTTCATTTCTCGATTCCTTCAGCAGTTTCAGCTTCTCTAGATCCATCGTAAGCTCCTCCTCGAGCGCCTCCATTTTTTTTATGAGATCATGGAACCTTCGTTTCTTATAAGCTTCCACGAGGGGTCCCGTATCATCTTTCGCTAATGGTTCTTGTCTCGAAGGGTTCTTTAACCGGTCAGCCACTTCCTGCATAGACGGATGTGCGAATGTATACGGCTTCTTGGCTTGAGAGAAAATCAAGAAAGCCACTTCAACGTCACACATTGCTACGAGCTCGTTCATTTTCTTGAAAATTCCGGCTTTACGTTTCGAGAACGTAATCATCCTATCTCCATAGTTTTCCACCTTCTTCATCTCGATCTTTTGCTTCCCCTTTGTTTTTCTTCCCTTTGCTTGCTTCGTTGACATGTTTGCATAAACCAGAAATGTTTGATTTCTTGTAGGTGTGTATGTCATGCACAAACATGATCTATTAATAGGGAAATAAAGAGATAGGATTTTGTTACGAAGTTTGTAGACATTTAATCTAAATCTTAATTATGAAGATAGTGTATTGACTAATTTACAAATTTAAAATTTTTGACTACACACATTTGGCAACCAATTTAACATCTTCATTAATTAGTCAAGAAACTATTATGGTAACTCAATTGGTGTATAGCTGGTCTAAAGGCGAAATGACCATTCATTCAAGAAGAATGTTGTTTAGGTAATTACGAGTTTGTGTATTCTTTAGAGGGGACATACTAACATTCTTTGATTTTAGAATTGAATTCAAAAACATTATAAGTTTAATTTTAGGTTGGAAATAATGTGAAATCTCTTTTCTTTGGAATAAAAATAACTTTAAGAGATCAATTTTCTCTATCACATGAAACACATCAAAAATGTTTCCTCTCATAGGCTATCAGCTAACTAATATTAAAATCCACGCTTTTTATATGCTTAATTTAAACTCTAATAAAAACTCACTTAGACCACGAATAATTTCAACTAATATTCAATAAGTAATACTATATTTTTTTTTTGTACAGTCTCTGTAAGACTATCGGTTAGGTTAATCATTCAAAGATATCTTCGTTTCATAGAAAAAAACAATAAAAACCAAATTTTAAAAAGAACAAAAAAAAATCTATTTGAGGAGAAAAATAGCTGTGACAAAGCTAAAGAGGCGACGTACCTAACCACAACCAGATCCCCAAAAACAGAGAACTTCTCGATACGAACGCCAAAGAGAAGATGATGGGTGTGGTGAAGTCGGCGATTGGGGATATGTTGATGACCTTCTCTTGGGTTGTCCTCTCCGCGACTTTTGGAATCCAGACGGCGGCGATTATCTCCGCCGGCGATTTTCAGGGAATCACTTGGGCTCCGTTGGTGATCTTGACGTCGTTGATTTTCGTCTACGTCTCGATCTTCACCGTTATCTTCGGTAGCGCTAGCTTCAATCCTACCGGAAACGCCGCCTTTTATGTCGCCGGTATCCCCGGAGATACTCTTTTCTCCTTGGCGATTAGATTACCCGCTCAGGTTTATACAATTCTAAAGATCCAAACTTTTTCAGAATTTTTGAATTTTTTGTCAGCTTACTGTTTTGGGTTTACTTGGTTTCATAGATTTAGTCAATATTTGTGATCTGTGATAGTTTTTTTCAAATGGGCTTGTGTATTATCTGCGAATTAGAATCTAGTTTTGTATGAATCCTTGAATCTCAAGCTATATAGTATATGCTTCTCATGAGATTTGTCCCCACTTGTATGCCCCGTTTTAGATTGGTTGAAGTTAGAATTAGACTTTTTTTTTTCTTGCTCGATTTCATCATTTTAGTACAAATGAGTCTGATCTTCTGTTGTTCGTATATTCTCACTTTCATCTGTTTAGTATACTATACTCAGGTTTGATATTTCTTGGAAAGAAGAACACACAGAATCAGATTCTTTTTTTTTTTTTTTTAATGTTTGTTTTTTGTTGATGTATGTGTTTCCCACTTAATTTAAAGCAGGAAAACGAAACCTTATCTTTCTCGTCGATATGTCTTTGTTTTTTCTTTAGCCTTTTCTGGAGTTTCTTGCGTGTCCATGTGTTTCTGTGTACTATAGTAACATAAATAGATAGAAAGACTGTTAATTGGTAAACCTGATTTAGCAAGGAGTAATTTGTACTCTTTTGAGAGTTGAATCGAGCAAGATGACTTTATTTCCTTTTTACTGTTTCTTGATTTCGACGGGATGCTGTTTGAAATGGAGATATGATATTAGTACATGTGATTCCAGGCAGCTGGTGCGGCAGGAGGTGCATTGGCCATCATGGAGTTCATACCAGAGAAATATAAGCATATGATTGGAGGACCTTCTCTTCAGGTTGATGTGCACACTGGAGCTATTGCAGAAACGATCTTAAGTTTTGGTATTACCTTTGCGGTTTTGCTGATTATCCTCAGGGGTCCACGGAGATTACTCGCTAAGACATTCTTGCTTGCTCTTGCAACCATCTCATTTGTTGTCGCCGGGTCTAAATACACTGGACCAGCCATGAATCCTGCCATTGTAAGTATACATTATGTCTCACTCCTTTACCTGATATATTTAGTATAGATGGATGAATTTTCAGTATCTTTCTTGTGTTTGCAATGCAGGCATTTGGGTGGGCATACATGTACAGCTCCCACAACACATGGGACCATATCTATGTCTACTGGATCAGTTCTTTCGTAGGAGCATTATCTGCTGCATTGCTCTTCCGTTCTATCTTCCCTCCAGCTCGGCCACAGAAGAAGAAACAAAAGAAAGCCTGAGGAAAACCAGTTGGGAGAACACCGGTCAGATTCTTCACCGGTTTGGGCTGTAGAAAGAAAGATTAAGAAAATTGTTCCATTCTTAAATAAGGAGAACATAAAAAGGAATCAAATCTCCTTCTCATTGTTTAGATTCACGCTTATTTATATGGATTCTCTTCTATGTTTACTTCCTTGTTCATAAGAAATCTCCTTCTGTTACCTCTATCACTCTTCTCTGCTACTTTCGGTTTAGTAACGTCCAAAATTCTAAATTATCAATGTCTGGTTTAGTTTGGTTCTAGTCGGTTTGTTTTCTAATTTGGTTCTGAGAACAGAGAGCTAAAAGATTCATTCAAACCGATTGGTTTTGGTAGGATTTGTTTGGCTTGGTTTTAGGAAATACTGTATATAGTTAACATAAGCTCAAATTGCCTTTTAATTTATTGAATTTTGTTGTCCAAACTTTACACTAAAATCAGCTTTTCGTGGATGTTACCCAATTCTCTCCCGTAGTCGTTAAATTTATAACGTAACGTCATTGTTTTGGTCGTATCAAAATTTCACGATTCAGATCTGTGGCTGTATTTGAATCCAAGCATAGGATAAATCCGGTAAGCAGCCGTAACTTGCAATCGATCGCCGATCTGGATCCGTTAAAGGATCCGTCGCAGTCCTTGAAGACATCGGCGTCCTCCGCCACCGGAAACAAGATCCGTTACCGTTCGCCTTCCGCTTCTGAGCTACTGGAGTCAGGACTAGCCACCGGATTGTCCGGTAACCATTCTCCTACCTCCGACTCTCATCAGGGACTTCTGTCTATCGACGGAGGGAAAATGACGGCGAAGCGAGCGATCGGACGGCACGAATCCCTTGCTGACAAGGTCCATCGACATCGTGGTCTTCTACTTGTGATTTCGATTCCCATTGTGTTGATAGCTCTTGTGCTTCTGTTAATGCCGGGGACGTCGACGTCCGTCTCTGTCATTGAATACACGATGAAAAAACACGAGGGAGGTTCGAATTCCAGGGGTCCCAAGAATTACGCTGTGATTTTTGATGCTGGTAGTTCTGGAAGCCGTGTGCATGTTTACTGTTTCGATCAGAATTTAGATCTTGTTCCTTTGGAGAATGAGCTCGAGCTCTTCTTACAGGTATTCATTGCATTTCTTTTGCTCTTTCTAAGTGTTGTTTTCCGATAATGGGACCTTGCCGCAGGCTCATGAACGATCGATCAATCTTAAGCTTGTTTGTGATATTTGATTCTTATTCAAGTTTGTAACCAGTGATGCAATTGTCTTAGTTAAGTTTCTATTTTTAGTTTTGGATAACCGCATGGACTCTGTTTCTACAGTTTCTTCAAAATGAAGTTGTGTGGAATTCTCCCATTAATGGGGAAATGTGTTTTTTGTTATAGTGGGAATGAGAAGATGAAGTTGCCTGTTTGCTAGTTTTTTGTGCTTTTGATCCTGCTCTCAAGTTACTATTTGTAATATCTTCGCTCAAGAGATGGTCTGATATCTTCAGCTCAATAAAATTACTGGGAAACTTATATCTTGGTTTTTCAAGGTCCACAATTGGCTTAAAACTCTTCACTCCTGTAATTCCAACAAGATGCTTTAATGGATGATATTAGATTCCCTTGTTCATTGTGCTGCAATTTTTATTATGCATTTCGGTGGCATTTTCAGCTCGCAGGAATCTTTGTGTCTGAACTTTTATTGTGATATTATTTCAGCTAAAACCGGGTTTAAGTGCATATCCTAATGATCCTCGGCAGTCAGCAAACTCTTTGGTATCTCTTCTGGACAAAGCAGAAGCTTCTGTTCCTCGTGAGTTGCGTCCAAAGACTCCTGTCAGAGTTGGGGTATGAAACGAGTTCTTTCACACAAAGACAAGTAAAGCTATTAATGTGTTCATCCATTTTATTGTTAATCATTTCACTGTTTTGCATTATATCCTTTTCAGGCAACCGCAGGTTTGAGGGCTTTGGGTCACCAAGCCTCTGAAAACATTTTGCAAGCGGTAAGTTTTGTGTATATGAATTCTAAAAACATTCGCCTGCTTGTAACTAAAATGTAATTTTGTTTTAAGGTTAGGGAGCTCCTGAAAGATAGAAGTAGGCTGAAGACTGAGGCAAATGCAGTGACTGTTCTGGATGGTGCTCAGGAAGGATCTTATCAGTGGGTATGTTGTAGATCTTTCCATCTATTAGAGTCAGATTTTATGTTAAATCCAGTTCGGATTTTAATTCTGTTGTATTATGGTTAGACTTTTGTGCCTGTAATTGTTGTGTTTCTGTACATCTCTCGGAAGTCTTTTTATCTTAAACCTGTAGTCAAGTAATTTTTTGTTTTTGTTTTTTTTTTTTTTTTTTGTATGCAAAAAACCTGTAGTCAAGTAACAAGTTTTAATTTTCTTCAAATTTCCCACTGTTAAGGTGACAATTAACTACTTGCTAAGGACTTTGGGAAAGCCGTACTCGGACACAGTTGGAGTGGTTGATCTTGGAGGGGGGTCGGTTCAAATGGCGTATGCTATACCAGAGGAAGATGCTGCAACTGCACCAAAACCTTTAGAAGGCGAGGATTCTTATGTCAAAGAAATGTATCTGAAGGGACGAAAGTATTTCCTCTATGTTCATAGGTTGGTTATCTGTCATTGCTTTTGTACTCATTAGATTTTTTCTTTGTTCTATTTTTACATGCTATACATAAAACTGTCTTTGATTTATCCTTCAACTTTAACGCAATAGCTTATCTGTTTGCTAATTGCAGCTACCTACATTACGGGTTACTGGCTGCTCGGGCTGAGATTTTGAAAGTCTCTGAGGACTCTAACAACCCCTGTATCGTGACTGGCTTTGCTGGTAAGTTAAAGATAGAATTATGGAACACGTTAGCTAAATTCTGAAGTTCTAGTACATATTAGATTGCACGTTCAGTTTCCTTTAAATCGAGTGATTCGTTTAAGGTACCTACAAATATGGAGGAAAGGCGTTTAAAGCCGCAGCTGCTCCATCCGGTGCAAGTCTAGATGAATGCCGGCGAGTAGCTATTAACGCACTCAAAGTCAATGATTCACTGTGCACACACATGAAATGCACATTCGGTGGAGTATGGAATGGTGGAGGCGGTGGTGGCCAGAAGAAAATGTTTGTTGCATCATTTTTCTTTGATCGAGCTGCAGAGGTAATATTTAATTCGTCTTCTATTTGACTTCATAAAGCACTTGTGTAACATGGTATTGTTCGACCACTAGTCTTTGAGCCATCACCGACAATAACATCAACGATGATGACAGGCTGGTTTTGTTGACCCAAAACAACCTGTGGCTGAGGTTCGACCACTTGACTTTGAGAAAGCGGCCAACAAAGCTTGTAACATGAGAATGGAAGAAGGGAAATCGAAGTTCCCACGTGTGGAGGAAGATAATCTGCCTTACTTGTGCTTGGATCTTGTTTACCAATATACTCTTCTGGTCGATGGATTCGGTATGTTACTCTTTCCAATCTTTTTCCAACTCACTAACCAAAATCTCAGTTTACATATATTAGTCCGATGGATGACCATGTTTATGGTAAGTATACATGATAGTCCGATAGAGTTCTGATAGTTGAGTGTGATGTATCATTTCATTGGAAGCCATAGTGAAAGAAACCAATTAGAGAACTCCTTGCTACTTGAAACCTTGCATTGTTTCAAGATGTATTTTGATTTCCAAAAATTAAAAATCTGTTAAATGTCAATTTTAACAACAAAATAAACAGGATTGAAGCCATCACAGACAATAACGTTAGTGAAGAAGGTGAAATACGGAGATTACGCCGTGGAAGCTGCGTGGCCACTAGGAAGCGCCATAGAAGCAGTATCCTCACCATGAGGAGAGGCAATTTTGGGTATTTTGCACAAAACCCCATATTCTTTTGATTTCTCCCAAAATCTCTCGCTCGAACTTCTTTTTTTTCTACTTTAAATTTTTGTTATTATCGTAATCATTAGTTCCTTACTATCGATTTTCGTTACAAATAATCATCTAGAGAAGAGAAGTTCGATTCTTAATATAATTTAATGTTTCTATTTCTTTCTCATTAATATTTTCCTTTATTGAGTGTTTTCTCCTTTGAGATTGTACTCTGTCCATGTAGAATCTTTCCTCTGTTTTTTTTTTCCTTTTTCTTACTGAAACCTACAATTATTGGGGATTTGATTGATATATTCCGTAAACATATATTTCCCCATGCGTCGTCAATGTATCACAATCCCAATAAATTCCCATATTAGGCCAATATGTTTTCCCTTGAATTCTTTGTTGATCAAAAGAAAAAGAAAAAGAATCGAAGATAAGTGACTTGTATGTATGCAAAATAGACTAAGAGATGGGGTTTGACCAGTCAAAGTTTGGAACTACTTTGATTTATGACCGTTTACACGCCCACCCATTCAATCTCATGTCACCAGCTTGACTTCGAGGACCAAAGTAACACGTTAATAATACTTCTCATAAACAATTAAAAATTCATATGTATTAACGTTTCTAAATTGAATTTAAACTTTAATTCTCAAAAGTAAGCGATTTTTTGCATATTATAGATTGAGTAGCTTTGCTTAGCTTATTAGCTTGTACATTGAAGGTTCGAATTTTCCAACGTAGCGCCAATTAAAAACATGTTTAAAAGAATTTTTAATATATGTGTTGATAAAAACTTTAGGGTAGGAAAAAGGAAATTTTTTTTGTCTTCGAGGACTTTAAAGTATAAGATGTTGATTGGTGAGTAGTTGCAAGCTTGACAAGTGGGTGTTCAAATTTTAGTAGAACAAGTAAGCGTTCATTGTATCTAACCACACCCAAGACCACACTTATTGAGGAGATAAACAAAAATCTAATTTTTTTAGATATTTTCTTAATAGAAGGATCCATACCCATATCTTTATCTTTATAAAGTAGAGAAACAGAAAGAAAGAGGAGGAAATAAGTGCTAAAAGTACAAAATACCATTCCTAAATTACGTAAAGAGACCACTATTCAACTAAGTTAGTACCCATCATTCCATAAACGAAAAAGCAAACCTCAAAATATAAAGAGTAATATGGAAAAAGGAAGAAAATAATGTCAATTAAGATGAGCATATTAGTAAAGATTTTTTAGATTTTTTTTTTCACAAGTGAAGATTTTATTGATAACATGACATAACATCGACAAAGAAAACATACAACACAGAGTCCAATTTCTAAATTTGCTTAGAAATTTAGTAGATATCACTGTCTAAATTGAAAGAAGAAATTATAAACATTAGTCGTAAATGAACCAAATTTAATGCAAAAAAAAAAGAAAACGTAAATCTTATATAGGAATAATACGATGAAATTATCCATATATCATTTTGTCATGATTTTTGGTTTCAATTTTTTTTTTTTAAAAACAGTTACATTCAAGTGGATAATATCAAAACTTTGTATGAGGAGTGTGGACTTACTTCATTCTTTTGGCATATGCTATCTTTCTCGGTTTGTTATTGTAAAGTTATAATACTTCTATAATTTTTTTCTTTTCTTTTCTGAAAGTAGGTTTCTTTAGATTTTGGCGTTTTCCGATTTTCTACAACCGTCTATTTCTCCTTATTATTTTATTTACAACTTACGACTTTAGAACTTCGGCCAAAAGAAGGGACTTTCTTCTCAAAACATTTCTTGAACATCCAAAGTCCAAACAATTATATAATGTTCTCTAAAATTCAGAATGATCGAGGTATATGTTCTGAAATATTAAAAACAATTATCACTGGTTTATATTCAAATAACTCGTCTGGTATCATTTTAAAAAAAATCAACACTATTCGTCATTGTAGCTGTAACTTTTATGAATTATATAAGTTCTTTTTTATGTTATTCAAACCAAACTATCCACACAGTAACCTTTTCCTATTAAAAAACGATTATAAGCATATAAAATGAACATGCTTCACCTATAATTCTAGCTAGGTGCAAAATTGTTGACTTAGACGATTCGAAAAAAGTCACACGTGTGGTTGCGCACGTTGACTATATAATTTTCCGTGCTTCTTAATTTATTACGACGTTATAATTGGTTGATTATATATTTTAATACTATTTGAAGGAGACTTTTGGAATTTATTAACTTTGAAAATTTATTTTATTCACCTTACTGACGTATGAGAAACTCCATTTCGTACAAAGCAAACAAGAAAGTCACATTTTGATCAATTTCTTGCGAAGTGTTTTATTCGAGCTGTTTTGAAAGACTTGTCGTGTATCAGTGTATGTAACATGTATTCTTTACAGTTGCAGTTTTTGTCATATGTTTCCTTATATTATATGTGAAGTTTCATAATCAGTATATTTAACGTTGATGTCACATTATATGAATGAAACTATACACTTTAACAAAAACAAAAAACTATATACAGCAACAATTTGAAAAATTGTTTGTAAAAGATATTGATCTTTCAATGCGTTAGCATATATACGGCTTCTGAGCTAAACGTTCAGAAATTTTGATATGAAATATACTCCCTATGTCCTAATATATAAGATGTTTTAGACATTTTCATTTATTCTATTATATAAGATTTTCTCTACTTTCAATGCATGATTTATATTTGTTTAATAGTTTTTAATTATTTTAATTATGCAGTATCTTCTTCTATTGGTTGAATTTTCATAAATGAGAAAATATTTATTGTTTCTTAATCTCTGTGCTTTTAGTCCAAACATCTAATAAAATGGGACATAAGGAGTATTAGATTAGAGTTATCTAATCCCTTTTATTATGATAAATTTTATAGACATTCAACTTAATTAAAATAATCTGATAGTGAGCAGATAGACTTATTTTTGTATTACTTTAAATACTATCTTATTTATGATGCTAGATTTCTACCACCTATAACTACTATCATATTATCAATATATGTTTCAAAAAGAAATTGCAAAACTAGTAGACGATTTTAATATTTTATCATGTATTTGTTTGAGATATTTCTGATGATCATCCCTTAATTATTCGTGTAAATTATAATTGGCAACCATATACTTTTTTTTGATGCTTGTATTTTTTTTTTTGATAACTCAGGGTAAATCCCCACATCTATGAGGGGTCTAGAACTAATATGTGGGGAGAGGATGTTCCACGAGTAAGGTTTTCCCCAGGTTTTCAAATGGACTGTAAATAATGGGTCCATATCCATATGGCCAAAGGGATAAAACTGAACAATTCTCTGTATGGGAAAAATCGATTCCTGTCCTAAACCAACATGGCCCTTTCTATTTTTGATGCTTGTATTTTGAAGTTTTTTTTTTAATTTTGGTAGGCTTTTCAAGTACTCCCTGTTTTAAATTATAAAGTGTTTTAGGAATTTTTTTTTTAAAAATATAAGAAGTTTTACCTTTTATATTTTTAAACAGAAGAAATATCTTTCTATACGGTGAAGGGTGAACGAAAGTTCAATTATTTGTTTAATTGATTGCACCATTATACCGAAATATAAATAGCTGGAAAAATAAATAACGTATAGAAGAAAAATTTAGAAATTTAGCTGCCACGTATTTAAAATTTAGAAAATCAAAATCAAGGGTATTTTGAGTTAGCGTGTGGTTTGCGTGTGTGTGAATGCCGATGTGGCATGTCATTATCATTTAATTAGAAGAAAAAAAACTTTATCTAGATTATGTATAATAACATAATTATAGGATAATTAACTTAGTAAACTACGTTTTAAAGAAACGTTAAATAGATCATGTGGGTGTTTATGATTCCACGTTTGCTCTTCTGAGAAGAAACAAATGTTTTTATTTGGTTTGCATCCCACCAAGAAACATAACAAATTAAGATTAGTTTAATACTTGCTTCATTAGACTAAACACGTTATATATTACTTATAAATTATACTAACATAAATCAAAATTATTGGTATATTATTTTGTCAACAAATTATTGATCTTTAGCCTTTTACATATGGTAGAGTGGCACTGGTCAAGGATTACATTTGTTTTTATATATGGATTTGATTCAAAATTTTGTGTTAGTTCTTATCTCACTTAATCCAATCAAATCTCGGTTTGTTTAAAGTTGTAATGATTACATTTTTTTGAATGTTCTACTTTTTTGACTCACCTTATTCTTATTCATGGTAACTTTTTTAAGACCATCTCCAATGTAAATCTCTATTTTTTCCTCTAAAATAGAGTAACTTCAAAATAGAGCATGATTTCTCTCCAGTGTATCACTCTATATGTTACTCTAAAATAGAAGTAGTGTAAAAAAAATAGAGTTACTTTATATATAGAGCAATCCTATCATTTACTCTATTTTAGAGTAACATATAGAGTGGGGTTGGAGAAAATGTACTCTATAATAAAGTTTTAGAGGAAAAAATAGAGTAGGATTGGAGATGCTCTAATGTTCTACATCAAAGCATGATATGGATAACAACTATGCAGTATACATTACAATTATCCATTAATTGCACAATTGTTCATGCCATGATGATGAGTATGAAAAAAAAGAAACAATTGTGTAAAGGATTTTGTCATTTTAAAGTTGTTCTTATCCCGTTAGTTTATAGTTGAGGGAAGAAGAAAATCTCTTTCATATGTGTGATTTCTATTTTTGTATATACTACCGAATTTCACCATTAATGAATGATAATTGCTATCTATGTTAGAAAAATAGGGAAAATTCAATTAACCTAACAAAATTGGAAAAGTTCATGAATGAGATAAAGCAGCGAGCATCGCATTCAAAACAATATGTTAGGCTTTACGTACTGTTTTATTGATATTAATTTTTTTTACAAAAATTGAAGATAAATAACTCAAACCAAAAAAAATAAAAGTGAATTTACAATCTCATGATCTTATTTTACATTATATATACAAATATGCATTATGCTACAAGTTCATCATTTCAAGTTTTTCTCGAAACAATTCAAGATATTTTTCCCTCTGAAAAGGATACACAATAAACTAAGACTAGAGTATGATGATTACGTCATCAGCCGCATCTGGGCTTACGTGGATATGGTTAGGACAAAAGTAAAATTAACCAATCAAATGTCATCCCAGAGGACACAGCTGTCTCATTTGGGTCCACTTCTCTAACAAAACTTCTTCAATTATTCACACTCAATACAATGACACATATATAAACAATTAAATAATTTATTAAATATTTGAAAACGGAAATTGTGTGTTCATACTTAAGTCCTTACATTTTTTTTTTTTTTTTGGGCAAAAGTCCTTACATTTATGTACTCAATATTGTTGTCTTTTTTGGAAAAGCTTGAGGACTATTTCTTGTAAATATATAAAAATTATGTACTCAAAATTTCGGATTCAATCCCTAGATATACATTTATCAAAACAAATCCAATTTGAGTTTTATTTACAAATGCAAATTTGCAATTTAATATGACATGGATCTCAGACTTTACAAAATAATAAAGTCTAGAAACTACGAACACGTAATTAGCAATCTTTGTTTTGAATGTATAAACAATGAAGTCTTTACATAAAAAGTCTAATTAGACAGAAATAATGCATTTAATATTAGGAGAAGATATAGACTACGTGCACAAAACGACCAAAATTTTGAGTAAGATATACAGTAATAAGAAGTATATAAATGATAAATTCAAGTTTCTGTTCATAAAATGCGGAAAAAAAAAAAAACTGTTCATAAAACATGCTTGAGTTCGATGACGATATATATTTGCTAGTTTCTCTCCATAAAGTTCTAATAAGTTTTTAGAAAAGCTCTTTTATTCAGTTGAAGAAATTAATCCTAACTGATTTTATTTACTTTTTATCCACTACTTGGACATTATTTTGGATCTTTCTCCCGGTCTACTTTACAGAAAATAATATTCTGTTTTTTCATTTTATAATCTCTTTTTTTTTTTTAAAGATTATACAAGTACTAAACGACAAAACTCTACACACCATAAATTGCCCTCGAAACCTGCTCTACGAAAAATTTCAATCTTTGGCTCACTTCTTTGTTTATCTCTTTGTTCCTCACCAAAACCAATATTTTCTCCTTCGTTGTTCTTTCTTTCCTATCAAAACTTTATACTTATATACGACTTGAAATATCATTCCAAGAAAAATGATAAGCAAGGATCCAAGATCGAGTTTACCTCCAGGGTTTCGATTTCATCCAACAGATGAAGAACTCATTCTCCATTACCTAAGGAAGAAAGTTTCCTCTTCCCCGGTCCCGCTTTCGATTATTGCCGATGTCGATATCTACAAATCCGATCCATGGGATTTACCAGGTAATTAACCAATATATTTTTTCCTTTTGTCTATGTATATTCCTCTTTTTTATTAGTGACATAACAACATGTTTTTATATTTGTATCATCAGCTAAGGCTCCATTTGGAGAGAAAGAGTGGTATTTTTTCAGTCCGAGGGATAGGAAATATCCTAACGGAGCAAGACCAAACAGAGCAGCTGCGTCTGGATATTGGAAAGCAACCGGAACTGACAAATTAATTGCGGTAGCGAATGGTGAAGGGTTTCATGAAAACATTGGTATAAAAAAAGCTCTTGTGTTTTATAGAGGAAAGCCTCCAAAAGGTGTTAAAACCAATTGGATCATGCATGAATATCGTCTTGCCGACTCTTTATCTCCCAAAAGAATCAGCTGTTCTAGGAGCAGTAGTAGCGAAGTCAATAATAATTTTGGAGATAGGAATTTGAAATCCAAAGAATATTCGATGAGGGTAAGTTTTTGCAACTACTTAAATTATTGTGGTGTTTTCAATTTCAAAGTTTGTTTTTGTTGGTTTTTAACCGGGAGACATAAACCGGTTATTAGAGGGCCGGAATATATCATCAATAAACCATTATTTTGTCTCTTTGTTCTTTCGTAATTGCTTATCCGCCACTTACTTTGATTGTTTTATTATTTTGCCCGAAATACTTATGATTTTTATATACCTTAATTTTCTGCAGCTGGATGATTGGGTTCTTTGCCGGATTTACAAGAAATCACACGCTTCATTGTCATCACCTGATGTTGCTTTGGTCACAAGCAATCAAGAGCATGAGGAAAATGACAACGAACCATTCGTAGAGCGCGGAACCTTTTTGCCAAATTTGCAAAAGGATCAACCCCTTAAACGTCAGAAGTCTTCTTGTTCATTCTCAAACTTATTAGACGCTACAGATTTGACGTTCCTCGCAAATTTTCTAAACGAAACCCCGGAAAATCGTTCTGAATCGGATTTTTCTTTCATGAGTGGCAATTTCTCTAATCCTGACATCTACGGAAACCATTACTTGGGTCAGAAGTTACCACGGTTGAGCTCTCCTACTTCAGAGACAAGCGGCGTCGGAAACAAAAGAGAGAGACTAGATTTTGCGGAAGAAACGATAAACGCTTCGAAGAAGATGATGAACACCTATAGTTACAATAATAATATAGATCAAATGGATCATAGTATGATGCAACAACCTAGTTTCCTGAACCAGGAACTCTTGATGAGTTCTCACCTTCAGTATCAAGGCTAGAGAGAATATTTATTTGAAAACCTAATGACGAATTGGGGATCATTCGGTATATGATTGAAAAGTAGGAGTCGTTGTTAGAAATTTACCAAACTATTGTGGGAAAAAAAAAGGAGATATAGAATAATAGTGTAGTTGATGATGAATTTGTTGATCATATAAAATACACAAGCTTATATTGAAAGCCCTGTTCTAAAAATCCCCGCCTAGCCCCGATTACTCCTCGCTTAATCGCTAGGCCCACCCTATCCGCCTCGATTAATGACTAATCCCCTAAAAAATCAGTAACCCGATTATTCTCCGCCTAATCCGATTACTTCCCGCCTAATCCGATTATTTTCCACCTAATCTTATATACCCCGATTATTTTTTAGATTGCAAGTATAAAAAAACCTTTCATTTTTATTATTCAATCATTTGAATAGGGAGTTTGTGATGTTTTACAATAACTTGTATTCAAATTTTAATAAAAATCATAAATTTGTAATAAAAATCATAAATTTTTACAATATTGGATTAATATATTTTAAAAATATTAAAATAACCCTAAAACTAATCCCCGGTTAATCCCCGATTTTAATCCGATTTTCTGATTAATCGCTAGGCCCATGCCGAGCGCCCGACTAGCGCCTAGCGATTTTTCAAACAAGGATTGAAAGTAGTCAAACAGTGATTTTGTTTCTGTTTTTCTTTTTTTTTTCTTTTTTTTTTTTCAGTTCAGTTATGAGGTAATTATTCCACAATTATGGTTCAATTTCTCTTCTTCTCATTCTCTTTAAAGTAAGAATTTTACATTGGTTAACGATACTATCATTGAAATCTTATTGAACTATTTTTAATTGCTTTTCAGAAATTTCCGAGACTAATGATTTTTGAACATATATGGACTCGCATGTTGAGTATGGATATAGCTAATATAAAAAAAAATATGTACACATTTTAAGAAATATTGAATGAAAGAATCTGCCAAATATCACAACCATCATATAAAATAAAGATTAGTATAACTTTTAGTTGGACGGGCGCGGTCTCGTAAATCCACGTGGAGACTAATCCCAATTATTCTCTATTTCGTAGCCATCGAAAGATCATCTTCGTAATTACTTGCACACAACGAATTGGTGAGTCATCGTTTTTTTTGTTTTGTCGTAAATTGGTGAAATATCGTTTAATATTCGGCTTTTTATAAAAACTGTATCATGGTAATTCACAAGTGGGAAAGATAAATGGACATGAACGGCCCATTTAGCATCAAAGGCCCATTTCACATCAAGCAAGTCGGTTATCTTTTTGTTGTTGTTGTTCTAACTCCTAACCTCAATGATTCGAAAGCGCGTTGTGGTGGAATCTGGTGTGAATCCATTGAGGTTAGAACACTAAGCAAGTCGGTTATCGTTATTTAGGTTTTATCACTTCATGTAAATCATTTAGTAACAATTAACACGTATCTATTATTATTTTTGGTGTATTTTAAAAATTTAAGGATATTTCGCAAGAAAATAGTATACACATTTCTTTTCTTTTTGTTTTTGTTAAAGTTATACTCACAGATATATGTTAATGTTGATTATATACTCACAAGTACTGTTTTTCTTTAAAATTTTTGATAATCAACAGAAAAAAGGTAACAATAGAGTAATGATGAATCATTTTTATGTAACTGATTCATCATAATTTTCTAGAACAATATATTTAAAATAGAGTAACTGATGAATCGTTAAATATATTGTTCTAGAAAATTATGATGAATCAGTTTTAACTACTCCTAATGCTTGAAATTTCGAGAAAATTGTATTTCATTTAGATACTTTCCCGGAAATAGTACATGACAAGAGATTTCTTAAGTAGATGATTGTTAAGGCTTCTTAGGGAAGCCAGACGTTGTGTTTCTGCATTATTGCGGGATCATTTAGACACGTACGTAGAAATTCTACGGTAGAATATGTAGCAACCCCAAATTATATCTCAACGACAGCTACGCACATACATTTTCCAAGAGAATCTTATGGGTTATTCCTTTTACAACACAAACTTTTTATCCTCATCCGATTCACAAATTTGATAGAAATTCTATCCGAAATAAAATATAATGATATTATTTGTCTGAACTTTCTCGTAAGTCTTCATTTTTGTATGAAAAAATCATTACTAAACCAGACTATATTATTTTAAAAAATTCCCCCTCTAAATCTGGATCCAAATGTGTGTGTGTGTGTGTTTTGTAACGACGGAGCAATTTCACCGAACCTTGATAAAGTCGTTTCTAATAGTATATGCTTAATCTATAATTTGTTTTAAGTCATCTCGACGACTTGGATTCATTAATAAAATAAAATAAAAGATCGAATTAACTAAATAACTAGTAGTATGAAGTAATCTTTCATAGGTGCTAAAAATTCAAGAATGAAACACAAATCACGTGATAACTTTTTGTTTGTTTTTTCTTTTCACTTTCTGTATATGATTTGTAATAAATCATATATACAGACAAAAAACGAGACTATGCTCACGACATCATATGTTAGTTGGAAAAAACATATGTAAAGTTCACACTGATTAAAAAGACCACACATACATTTGCTGCTGCTGCAGTCGGTAAAATATTAATAGTTCAGTTTTTTTTTTTAATGAATAGAAAACGTATATAATGTGATGTGTTTGGAGATTATAGAAAACTAAATAATTAGTTTGGAGAGGCTGTCCCATCTTTCGTGGCAGATTCGGGATATTATATTGTTTCAACACTAAATTTGAGAACAGTCCATGGCTCAATTCGTCAATTCCTCTATTTTAAGAAAGTTTGTTTTTTTGTAATTTTTAGGAAAACGAGTTATGACGAATTAAATTAAATAAGTTGTGTCTAAGGCTGATTAAAAATATTATCTTGAACATCGAGGTGACGCGAGCCGGCCATACAGTCGTTATTTTTTCTAAAAATTTCAATAAATATACACCAAATGGGTATACTAGTGTCCAAAACTAGAGATTTATTCGATTTATTTTTTAGCTTTATTGAGAAGTCCACCTGATTATAGTATACGGCCCCTAAAGCCAAAATAAAATAAAATTATATGACCCTTATTGCATGATAATTATTTCAGTCAATAATTATACGTGGACCTCTGGATACATCTTTCATGTTATATATATATATATATATATATATATATATATATATATATATATTTTTTTTTTTTCTAATCAAAATATAAGATTAGTCAGTATAATTTCCAGCTATATAACAAGTATATAGTATATATGTTCTAAAACCAAAATAATTGTAACAGTGGATGAGAAAATTAGGCGATCATGTGCAGTAACAAATAGTTTAAGAGAGACTAATTCTAACGCGATATAACTAAGAATGATGTTTCCAACACCGTGTATGTATATTGATATTTTTATATACTAATAACTCAGATAATTGTTTGGATATTAAAAACTCCAATAATTATGGGATAAATAAATATGGCGACTTGATGGATAGGTTAGGCCAATAATTTGGAATCTCACCAATAGCCAATAGTAATGTTAACATCCTAAATTGTTCCAGCTGCAACTGAAATAATCTGTCTTAGATTTAAGAAACAAATAATTGAAGTCTATATTTTATTTAGTTATATATACTATATAGTTATAATAAGTCGACCCACTTGATTCCGAAGGCTACACTACTAATATTTAAATTAAATATTTAGTGGGATTAACTTACAAGATTTCCAATACACATAAATATTAAACATTTAAATCCATATATATATCTGTGTAATTGTGTTTCAGTGGTGGTAGCCATGACTTTGAGAAAGGGTGAATGACATCATCATCATCACAGCATAAAATTTATAATTAATGGAAGGTTATGATAATCAAATAGCTCAAACAGAATGTGTTAGTTTTGTGATTTTATAATGATTCATGTTTTACTTATCATACATAATATAATACACAGGAGATTGAATCATTGTTATTTCGTCATGCTTTTTCGTTTAATCTAATTATAAATAAATTTAAAACTGTTTTGCAGATGAGGACAGTGAGTTTGTAATGTTATTGACAGTTAAAAGGCCTGGGCTGGCTCCACATGACCCAATAAGAGAGATGGTGATGTCATAATTTACGTCAGATTACGTCATCCAATCCTTCGCTTTTAAGTCTTTGCCTTTGGAAGCAAATGTCAACCTTCTAAAGATATTCATTTTTTTATTTATTAATCTTCCCTACTACTCGCCAAAAATATACGAATTGAATACAAAATTACAAATTATATAAATGAAGAAACATCGGCTACATATAATAGCAGTGTACTTTTAATTTTTTTATTGAAGTTTCCACAACTTGCGGTCCACATTATATTATTGTAATAATGTCAATTTTATGTGACAACTTATTTTTATACAGTTTTCTGTTGATGCATATATACAATAATAAAGGTGATATTGGAACTTGTTTTGGAAGTTCATCGGTAAGAAAATAAAAAGTCCGTCAATAATACGAAAAGACAAAATCGAGATTGCATTAAGTACTAATTAAAAAGCAGGAGTTAATTATTTTTGAAAATGATAAGTCGGTGAGTTGTTGCAAGTATTGACTAACGACTTTTTATAATTTCACTCATAGTCTCATATCGGAAATAGTACAATTTAGGAATTTAATTGTTAAAATACGAAAATATGAATAATTAATAATGTTAATCTTCTTGCAGACGAGCTCGAATCATCTGTTTATTTTGAACATATGATATTAGTTCAAATAATAAGGGATTGATCAGTAACTAAATTAAACTGAAGTACTGAACTTCGATTACTATTAACTATCAATGCGTTTATTCGGTAATTCAATAATAATATATGATATTTTGAAAATTATTTTTATTATCTATAATATTTGAATATGTAAATATCCAGACAATTGGAATGTAGTGGAGAATAGAGACAATTAGACAGTTAAGTTAGTTGGAGTTTAGGCGTCATATCGTTGAAACTTTTTAAAGATAGCACCCACATAATTTTTTTTTCATTATTTATTTTTTCAAATATTAAAAACCAACTATCTTTATTGGCATGCTCATCATCATATCCAGAAAAACCAACTACTAGTAGTATTTTCGCTCATCAAATCACGAACCTTAAAATACTCCCGTCGGTAAATATTCAAATTATATTTTCGTATTGATTTGTTCAGTTTCATATCATAGGTTAGAACGCTTTGACTTGTTCTTTTTTCCTTATTAATCTTCGCAGCCGGTGGTTTCCTTGACCTTTTATTTTACACATATAATTAAGCCGACATTAATAGAAAAAGGAATATGCTTTCTTAGGGTGAATTTACTCATTTAAACTACGACGTCCAGAAATAAAATTAAAAAAAGTAGTGGAGATTAATAGTCTAATAAATAAGTTAACATTGATATTTTCACTCTGTTTAAATATAAGTATAATGTGATATCAGTATGTTTTGACATATAATATTACTCCACTAATATGAATTTAAAATAATAAATATATATTTGGTATATACCAATAATAAAATGGACGATTACGTCACACTTCCACCAATTGGTTGATAATTTAAACATTATTTTTATTCCTTCAACTTCACTGGTAAGGTTAAGAACACACACCACAAATGGTTGCTAAAATTCTTATCATTTTTATAATCGATTAAACCACACCCCAAATAAATATCCAAACTGCAATTCAATTTATGTGATCGATTTATTCATTTGCTCTCGTATATAAATTTTCTTCATAGAAACTTAAATTTTTTTGTTTAATAAAACGAACATTAACATACAATTTCTTTTGAGGTTTTCATTAGGGACTCCTTTTTTTTTTTTTTTGACAATGGGATTCCTCTCATTAGGACAATAAAACTAATAGTAGTAAAATTTTAAAAGGGACATATTTTCAATAATATAGGTCCACATAACAGGAAGAGGAGCCAAACCTTTTAACACTTTTGAGTGGTATATTTTCCTTCAAAGGTTTTTTCTGCCACACGACTCTTTATTTTCTTTCCAAAAGAGGTTATTTTCAAAAGGTAGATGTAGGTCATGTGGCTATCGAACCCATTTTTTTTCTGGTGGTTGGCTGAGGAACCCCATAAGATGACTATACTGACATAGTCCTATGAAATGTACAAGAAAAAACAAACTAAGCCTCATATGGAACATAAAATTATTCGACAGACGTGTCACCCTATGGATCTAAAATTTAATGGTAGCATCTAAATCTTTTTTTTTTGTGCACCGGTAGGATCTAAAATCTAAAATATAAAATTTTGTTCCATAACCATCCCAATAAATTAATTACCTATAGCAATATTTTTATTCTGACACTAAGAAGAAAACTATATTTATCTTATCTTTAATTATAATACATTTATATATATATATATATATATAAATTGCTAATTGCCATGAATTTCAATACAGATATCATTTAAGATATTTTTAAGTGTTTTCTAATTGTGGGGCTTTTTCAACAAGTAAGGAAGTTGCTTAGAGCTTACGTGTCTCTTCTACATCACCAAAAAAATGAGAAAAAAACAAAAATAAAGAAAATAAACATTATTGTTTTTTTCTTGGCTCTTATCTTCCTCTATATAAAGACATTTTTTTCGACCTTCACATATTTTTATTTTCATTTCCTTTAACTGCATAGTTCTTCCTCAAATTTCTAATACCTTTGCTTCTCTTTCTTTCTTTCTTCAACCTCTTATTTCTTCTCCAGCGCCAACGTGTATCTGCAGTAAACAGTACATATCCATCGATCGATCTCCTCAAAAAGTTCTTGTTATCTTGAAATCCAACAAGGTTGTTTCTTGTTCTTGATCAAGCGTATACATATATATAGATGGTGGAAGAAGGCGGCGTAGTTGTGAATCAAGGAGGAGATCAGGAGGTGGTGGATTTGCCTCCAGGGTTTCGGTTTCACCCAACTGATGAAGAGATAATAACTCACTACCTCAAAGAGAAGGTCTTCAACATCCGATTCACCGCGGCAGCGATTGGTCAAGCCGACCTCAACAAGAACGAGCCATGGGATCTACCAAGTAAGTCAAGTCAAAATCTTTTTATTTTGACCGTTTCAAACATCATCATCGATCAAGATTCTGATTCTTGATTTGAGTGCAGAGATTGCAAAGATGGGGGAGAAGGAGTTTTACTTTTTCTGCCAGAGGGATCGGAAGTATCCGACCGGGATGAGGACGAACCGTGCGACCGTGTCTGGTTATTGGAAGGCGACTGGGAAGGACAAGGAGATCTTTAGAGGCAAAGGTTGTCTTGTTGGGATGAAGAAAACACTTGTTTTCTATAGAGGAAGAGCTCCTAAAGGTGAAAAGACCAATTGGGTTATGCATGAATATCGTCTTGATGGCAAATATTCTTATCATAACCTCCCCAAAACCGCAAGGGTATGTCAAAGTTTACCACTCTTTTGCATAAAAATGATTCGGTTTGATGCATACAAAATTTGTTTGTTGAGCAAATTGTTTATCTATAGTTGTTCTTTTATATATGATTAATCCAAAACATGAAATTTAATTAGAACCTTAATTAATTAGCAATCTCTATGACTAATCTTTTTTTATTGTGATGATTATAGGATGAATGGGTGGTGTGTAGGGTTTTTCACAAGAGCGATCCTAGTACTACAATCACTCCTACAAGCCAACTCTCAAGGATTGATTCACTTGATAACATTGATCATCTCTTAGACTTCTCATCTCTCCCTCCTCTCATAGATCCGGGTTTCTTGGGTCAATCCAGCCCAAGCTTCTCCGGTGTCCGCCAACAACACGACCTCAAACCTGTCCTCCACCATCCTACAACCGCACCAGTCGACAACACTTTCCTCTCTACCCAAACTTTCAATTTCCCTTACCACTCGGTCCATAATTCCGGATCTGATTTCGGTTACGGGGCAGGTTCAGGCAATAATGACAAAGGTATGATTAAGTTGGAGCATTCTCTTGTGAGTGTGTCTCAAGAAACCGGTTTGAGTTCCGATGTGAACACAACCGCAACGCCAGAGATATCTTCTTATCCAATAATGATGAATCCGGCAGCCAATGCGGCGGTGATGGATGGTAGCAAGTCAGCGTGTGATGATCTTGATGACTTGATCTTCTGGGAAGATTTATATACTAGCTAAATTTGGGAAAAGGTTATTTGTTAATTGTGATTGAAGAGTGGCATATTGATTACTTGTTTAGTGTTTTTAATCGTGTAATTAGTTCGTATATAATATACATGTACATAAGATCATTAGGTTTATTAGGCCATTGGACTTTAGTTCGATGATTGTTTACTTAGTTTTTAGCTTGAGAAAAAAGGCTGTCATTGTTTACATATATATACATTTAAATTCTTCGTATGATTAATTTCGCTTAAAATAGTTTCTTATTAATATTCTAAGGAAATGCAATAACACATAATTTTTAGGTTTTGGAAATTAAGATGTTCAAGTAAATTTATCTCCTCGAGAGGTATACGATGTCTATCTATGCATATTAGATTTGTTTACGAATCTAATGTTTCACTGCCTACTTATTTTCGTAGTTTAGTTATTATTTTTGTATATATATTTGATCCCAAAATAAAATAAAAAATGATATTCAATCGTATAACCCACAAGTATAAGTACACCGGATATATAGAACTTCTCATTTAAGCTTCATTAGTTACAGAATTAATTAGAAGATATGGATAATATAAGTATACTTAATGCCTTAATTAATGGTCACCTATTCTTGGTCAAGATTAACAAGACAAGATAATGAATCTGTTGTCTTATAAGTATCAAACTCTTTTTCTAATGCCGGTCATTTCTATGAGTTGGGAAATTCCGGTTCGAAACGAGACTCATTCATGCTCATGCATATTATGGTTCCTTTGTTAAATCTCAAGTAACTAGCAATAACTAAACCACCATTACTTAGTTTTTTTTCTTATAAGTTGTACTAATCACTTCTCGAGCAATAACTATAAGTAATATGAAAAATTGGCATCTCAGTATAACAGTATCTATAGGTTATGTTGTTACTAATTTGTACGATTACGAAAATAAATCTCTTTTTCATTCAGAATATAAAATGGAAAATATGGACCTATAGAATCTGAATAAATGAACACAGCTCACGAAACATGTGAATTGTTCCCTGAATCCGAAGCCTTTTCATATGGCTAATAATTTAGTTTTTTAAGACACAATTTAATTAAATAACTTAAACAATTTTGAAAGATTCTAAGGGCAGTAATTAATGATGGGTTTCTTGTAAAAACAAACTCCAGATCCCTAACTCTTCTGTCTTAAGGAGCTTAATTAGTTAGTTATTACACTCAATGACATTACGTTTTCTTACATAATTTTCAAAAAACATTAGTATAAGCTTAATTGAGTAGTTTTTTTAAGAATTTACACGAAATATTAGTATAAGCTTAATAATATATTACTGTAGTATAAAACTCAGTGATTGCAAGAGTTAAAAAACAATATGCTCACTATAACATAGATGCAGCTGATGGAGTCATGACTCATGATTGTAGTTTAATCACCAGAAATGTCAAATCAAATATATAATTTCTAGTTATCTTTAGAAATACATTTTTATATAGTTGGTCTACTTCAAGAAGATGGATGATAATATTAAAAATGCACATTATTATAAGAAACTTTCCATTTAAAGCAAAGCTTTAAGATGAATACTTGCAGCAAAGCTAACCGCTTATTTTCCTTTTTCGGTTTCTAGATGATTGCTATTATGCTATCTTTTTCTCTCAACCCTTTTTTATTCCATTTAATAATGTTTTCTAGACCCAAAAAGAAAAAGAAAAACATTTAAATTTGTCTAAATTGTGCATGAAAAAATGGACGGTCATCAACCATATAACTTGCCTCGACATAAATCTTCATCGGCGATGAGGAAATGTTAACCGGATCCAACAACTTCGTTTCCAGTGAGGAGAATTATTATTTTGCGTTAATTGGTTTTTCAATTTTCTAATCGAGCTGCCGACAATAAAAAAAAGAAGCCCATTGGCTTTGTTTTATGAGCCCAAGAAGGATTATATTGAAACTTCGAAAAAATTCGAAGATGCACACTAATTACAAAAAAGAAAACCCGATTAGAGTTGATTAAAAGAACTGAATATGAAATCTGAACGAAACTAAAACAATAATATTGATTCGTATCTCTCGTCTCGGATAATATTCAAAAATGTCAGAAACTTCAAATATTGCGAGCAAAAAAGCAATGGTCTAAATCGAAAAAAACCCACCAAAAATAGACCCCTCAAAAACATGAAATTTCAAATATGACCCCGTATTATATAAAAAAAAAATTCTACTACTCCACGTTCAAAATCTTGACAACAGAGGAACCATCGATCTTGTGCAACGCCACAATCGAGTCTCCCGCCTTACATATTCCCTTCTTCTTCGCAAATTCAATGGCGAATTTAATCGTCTCCTCCGTCGAATCCTTGTTCGAAGACCTAGCGGAAGCTCCCGTCGCCATCACCGGAACTATTCCACGGTAAATCAATCCACGTCTCGCCACATGAGCCGCAGTTTCAGAGCACGACCACTCGAAATCATCGGTACGAGTAATCTCCGGCACAATCACCGAAAGAATCGGAACGCTAGGCCTGTACTTCGCAACAAGCTCCACCGTGTAACCTCCCTTGGTTAGAACCACAATCGCAGCCGCACAAAGACTCCTAGCCGTCGAAACGGCTGAAGCAGCTAAGCTCTCGATAGGAGATAGAGGCAACGAAACGATATCTTGAATCTTCTTGTGCATTGTGTCGTAGTCGATGAAATTCTCTGCCTCCTTACAGATTCTTGACATTGTAAGCACGGCGGTCTCAGGGTGAGCTCCGGCTGCGGTTTCTCCACTGAGCATGACGCAATCAGTGCCGTCAAGAACAGCGTTAGCTACATCGGTGGCTTCGGCTCTAGTCGGACGAGGAGATTTGGTCATTGACTCAAGCATCTGTGTGGCTGTGACGACTGGCTTCCCAAGAGCATTAGCCTTCTGAATCATCATCTTCTGAGCAAGAAACATCTTCTCAATCGGAATCTCCATTCCTAAATCACCTCTAGCCACCATGAATGCATCAGAATTCTCCAGAATCTTGTCGAAATTCATCACTCCTTCTTGATTCTCCACCTGTAATGAGCATCACAATGTAAGTATATAACTAAGAAATCAAATTTCACTTGAAGAAAAAAAAAGTGTTCTGTTTTTTAACTCTTTACCTTTGACATAAGCATGATACTCTTTGCGTGCTCTCCAAGCAATTTCCTGACCTCCACCAGATCAGATCCTTTACGAACAAAGGAAAGAGCGATGATATCAATCTTATTGGGAACTCCCCATTGGAGAATATCCTCTTGATCCTTCTCTGTGAGTGTTGGGAGATCAACTACGATTCCAGGGAGGTTCACGTTCTTTCTTTCTCCAAGAACCGCAGAGTTCTCGCAACGGCAACGAACAAGACCGAGATTCTTGTCACAGGCCAAGACGGTAAGAGAGATTGTGCCGTCGGAACAGAGAATCACGTCACCGGACTTGAGATCTTCAGCAAGTTTCTTGTAACTCATGGAGATTGTGTTTGAATCTCCTTCCATTGTGTAATCAGTTGAGATTGTGATCTCTTGACCTTGAATTAGCTCAACCGGTTTGCCTTCTTTGAGAAATCCGGTTCGGATCTCAGGACCCTATAAACCGAAAATTAAACCGAGTTAAATGAAATCCCCAATAGAAAGAATCTTAAAACAGCATAAGGAGAAGTTGAAAAGACTATTTAAAATTAGGGTTTACCTTTGTGTCGAGCATGACGGCACAAGGAATACAAGTGTTTTCCATGGCGGTTCTGAGATTGTCGAGAGTTTCTTGATGGTACGAGTGAGAACCATGGGAGAAATTGAACCGGGCTACGTTCATACCGGCTTTGAGAAGCTTCTCAACCATCTCAACAGATCTCGAAGCAGGTCCGAGAGTACACACGATCTTCGTCTTTGACTTAAGGGCTCCATTGTTGGTTTGTCCAGCAAGTAACTTCTCCATCGTGATAAAACTTCAGAAACGAAGAGAAAAGGTTTAAGAGTTTTGAGAAGAGAAAATCGAGAGCTCGTGATGGTTTATGATTTATGATGATTAGGGTCACGTATCTAGGTATATATAAAAAACTAATTTCCCTTTTTTACATTATAGAAAAAGGAAAACGAAACAACTTACTTTTATGTATTGTCTTAATTATTGTTGTTCTTGTGTATCAAGTAAATAATTTCCTTTTCTTTACATTATAAAAAAAAATTAGGAAACAAAAACTTTTGGAAATACTACTTTTTTACCGTTTTGGAAACAAATTAATGCTAAACATGAAAAAGGGAAAATTTTCTTATTGGCATTTAATGATGTTCTTGTATCTCAAGAATCAAAAATAAACCGTCAAAAAGAGATTACGAGACAAACAAACAATAGATTTTTTAGAAATATAGCTTAAATAATAAGAAAACTTAACAAATCTGATTACCATCGTATTAAAAAATCTGAAATAAAGTACGGGAAACAGAACCTGAGGTTTCTTAACAATTTTACACCACTTCTGCTTGCCATAATATAGCTTAAAAGCTTGTTTAGCACTAAAAATGAATTCGTAACTACTAATTAATCTGCTTCTAATCACGTTTCTGCATTCAGTTTTTTGTATACACACAAAAGTGTCAAGTGTCAAAACTGGATCAGTTTATCTTCAGACAAATTTGATCTCTCATTTTGTCCTAAGGAAACTCTTTATAGAAAGAACACAAAGTTGAAACTTTATACACATAACACATAAGGAAGGAGCAACAGAAGAGAGCTGTGTAGCTACGAAGGAGAAATGGTAGAGGATTTGTGCAATTTGTTCTTCTCTTGCCCTTGCGGTGGCTGAGATGAATGTACAGCCGCATGATAAGACGACGATGCAAGCTGTGCCAAAGCCGGTACAGCGCCACCTGCGAGAATTAACACCAAAGACATAACTTTAAGCTAATAAAAAGACGAGTAAAAACATCTACTACTTTCACAGGCTGAAAGTTGTCTAGATGAGTATTGAAAAGGAGGAGGATGGAGATGATCTCTAAACCTGCAAGTCCAGCACAGGCTGATGAAACAACTATCACAGGTGGAGCCTGCAAACCAAACATCAAATACAATCATCACGCAAGTTGTTTTGCGACAATTTAAGGATGTAACAGGGAATTTTATAACTTTGTTGATAACTTACACCAACAAGAAAATGCAACCACATGGGTCCTTTTATCCACTTGCGTACAATTGGCATTACTGCATAAAAATCAAGAACCACACTATTAACACAACATCCAAAAATATAGATTCTGAATGTTTTTCAAGCAAGTTCCATACTTGAAACTGGTGTTTCCTCTATCCAGACTTTAAAAACATATCACCCACAAAAAGAATCTCGATAGTTTCAGCATAAACCACACAAATCGAGCATCATATCCACCCCGACCTTTCCTTGGAACAGGTTACATACATAAGTGATTAAAACAATCTCTCTTCTCCCAATTCAAAGAAGAAACAATCAATGAGTGAGAGATTAAAGACATACCATGGTTAAATCCAATGAAAGCACTTGCAGTACCACCTACAGCTGATCCAATCTAATGACAATAACAAATCACCTTCAACATAATTGACCAATCATCCATTTAATTCCAAACAAAACATAAACTTTTCTGAGAAAAATATTATTAGCAAGGTTAGTTTAGTCTAAAAGAGTCGATTTTTAGCACCAAATTTTGTTCTAACTAACCATAGAGAAGCTATCCCTGATAAACGGAGCCACAGTCCATTCGTTAGTTTCCTGAAAATCAATTCGGCGACCAATACAGATTTCACTAAACACATCAACAGGAGAAAAAGGTAAAACTCAATCAACAACAAGAAGAATTTTGTGGTAAATACCAGATTTTTCGTAAGAGGGCCTGCGCAATGATGACATCTAGATCCGATCTCCTTCCATGAATCCGCCATTGTTGCAGACGTATAAAAATCCCAACGAGAATTATATTTGGATTCCTTCTTCCTCTTTTAGTGTTCGTAGGGTTTCTACGTTGTCACTGGTTCGTTCGTCGTCTCCTCTTTTCGACAACACAGTCGTCGGATCATCTGTGGTTGAGTCTACTTTAACTTTTTAGTCAGCCAATTAATTGCTGCCACGTATTTAATATCGATCGTTTATGAGACCGGACCGGTTTAGTCGTAATTAAGCATACATAACCCGGTCAGGACTTTTCAATTTTTAGAGTGTTTCAATCTTTTTTTTTTTTGGGTCAATTTACGTTCAGGTGGAAATTGATGCAATAAAAAGTTTCTACACACATTTTTTTTGGAAAAAGTTAAAAGTTTTTGCTTAAACCAAGTTATGTTTGGAATCTTTGTTCCCCATTTTCCATGGAGTTATAAGAGAAATAAAGTAAACCAACAAAAGAATGTTTCACTGAAAAAGAAAAAATAAATAAGAACATAAACAAACCACTATAAAAATAGGTTATTGTATGTAATGATGATTTGGTTCACGAAAAATGATTTCTGGCAAATGAAGTTGATTTACATTAGTAAGTTGTTTTTCTTTTCTTTTTTTGATATAGATCATGACTTCATAAGTAACGATGAACAACAAAGACATTGATGTTAACAAATAATGAAACAAGACTAGCTATAAGTGGAAGGAAAATGAACCTCATATAGTTTTTTTCTTTTCTCGTTGTCTATTTTTTAATTTTATTTTCGGGTTAAGATGAATAACAAAGATTCTTGACTTGAGAATGCGACTCACCTTTTTCATATTCTCATTCTGCAGAATCACCACTTTCTTCTTTCCTTTTTTTTTTTAAGAATATATAATTTGATGAGCAAAAGAATGTAATTCCGTGAGTATTTTTCCGGCGAATGTAGCCCACGTGTTTAAGTATGCTCCCTACGCGAGAGCTTGGAAGCATCATTAACAAAGTTAGTCGTAAACAAGAACAAGAATCTGCTAAATGAACGTACAAGGAAGAACATTCAGTCTCTATCACTCACTCCCTCTCTCTCTTTCTTTTCACTTATAACAGTGACCTTTCAAATGGTTGAAAGATAAACAAAAAATAGAGAGTGTGTAACTATTATCAAGAAATCATCAGAACTAATTGTCTCAGTAATAGTTAACTCAAACTTACGTAAGAAATAAAGGAACAACATTTTACAGTGATCCAGAGAAACAGGCCCTGCTACAAAAGTCTCTAAATTCTGAAATTTTGATTGGATTATGAACTAATTCACTCTGTAACCATACAAATGCGCTATAACAAAACAGATAATTTGGTAAGAAAGAGAGAGTTTGATGAGATTCAATTCAAGCAGACTTTTAGAGCCTTGCAACACACAACATGGAAAGCATATTCTCACCCACATGGAGATGAAACTATTTTGGTAATATGCTCTAATACTTTTAACTCAAAGATTATGATAGGTTCTTTCTTCCCGAAACCCGAATAAAGTGTTTTGAGAAATCACAACCATGAGATATCGCCTAAAAAGTTTGGTTCGGTATAAAATAAATGCAAAGATATCATTCAAGGAACATAATATTTGTTTTTTTTATACCTTATGAACCATAGACCATATCAAAGCACTCATTAAGCTAATGTGGGACTCAGAAAGACTGGATATATTCTCAGTTGCACATACAGTAGTAATAGCCTACACAAGTCCAACATTTGGCAATGCCCTTATTCTAGAAGATGAGATGCCTTGACGGTAATATGTACGCATAAACTATTCAAAAACTCAAATACTGTAGACATCATCGAAATAGTTGCAGGAAAGTATAGAGTGAGAAATTTGCCAAGCAATAGATGCAGCAGTAATGTTTCACTTCTATATATGAATGAAAATATAGACACACACACTCACACACAGGCATGGACTGGAGAGATAATTGTTATTAGATCAGAAAGGAAAGGCTACAAACACAATAAAACAGAGGCATAGAGGGGCCAAATGTTTTGTGCTAATCAAAGAATGTTAAGAAAAATGGGACCCTCCAGTAATTTTATACTGTGTAGAGAGAATAGGTACTAAACTTGTTGAAGGAGGGACATTATGAAAATATTCTTTATTATCTTTAAAAGCAAAACAATGTTTCCAATTCCAACAAAAAAACTTTCATTTGTTTGCTATCTCAAACTAAAGGTTGGACTGAGTCAAAAGTGTTATCGTCATATTACATTCTTGAAACATAGCAAGATAAACCCCTATTAATATCATCAATAACAGCTGACTAAAAGTCTTGATAAAAATCATTAGACTCATAATGTACCTAGAGACCGAAAATGACTCCATGAAGAAGGAACAAAAACAATCCAGACAAATGAAAAGCATTGAGAATATTCCAAGAAAGATAGAGGTTATTAGAGTTGTGACTATGAAAATATCAAAGAATAAGAAAAGTTAGGAAAAATTGGGGAATAAGATACTTCCCTCTGCCAGAATGAGCATATGATGCATTAATTGTGGATCAATTCTGGTATCTAATTGGGTTGAAAAGTTGTAGTCCATAGGAATCAACACATAGAAATAAAATAAAAATCATCTACTAACGAAAAACAGAACAGTTCAAACGATAAGGACACAAGTAACAAAAGCATCGATTGGACCAGTTATTCATATTCCATACCTTAATTATCGTTCTCTAATTTGCCCCCTTTTCTCCATTCAACTTCCTATATAAAGCAAAGTTGCACCAAAGCAACCTGAGAACATATAAAGAACAAGTAAGCAAAAGCAGCAAAAACATCTTTCTTCCTTAGTTTTTGGAGTTTACTCTCTTGGAACTTCTGAGAACTAAGATCGCGTCAGGTAAAAGAAAACATTGATCATGACAATCATTATTTAATGCAGTTTCCAGGGTGGGGGACTAAACTTACATTTGCCTTTTTGTGAACAGACTTTATGTATTACCAAAACCAGCACCAAGGAAAGAACGTCCTCTCTTCTTCAAGAATGCACATAACTTCTGAAAGGCATCCATTCCTTAGAGGGAATAGTCCAGGAGATTCTGGACTCATCCTTTCAACCGATGCAAAGCCGCGCCTAAAGTGGACTCCAGATCTTCATGAGAGATTCATCGAAGCAGTCAATCAACTCGGTGGAGCAGATAGTGAGTGTTATATCATTAGTAACAGAATTGTATAATCATCTGTGAATAGCAGGCGCTTTTTATATTAATATTGTATACTTTTTGTTTGTTCTGTTGCAGAAGCTACTCCTAAGACAATCATGAAAGTCATGGGGATTCCAGGCCTTACCTTATACCATCTCAAAAGTCATCTTCAGGTAAACCATCATATCAACACCAAATACACAAATTTTACAATCTTTCTTTTTGCATTCACAAAAGGTTATTTATTAACTTCATGAAATTGGCTACCAGAAATACAGGTTGAGCAAGAATCTCAACGGACAAGCTAACAGCAGCTTCAACAAAATAGGTAAATCATATTGACATGAACTTGATTCACAGATGCAAGAACTTTAAAGTCATACCAAGATCTAAATCTAACATGATCACTTGTATAGGTATGATGACCATGTTGGAAGAACAGACTCCTGATGCAGACGAAAGTCAAAGCGAGAGTTTAAGCATTGGACCACAGCCTAACAAGTAAGAAATAATATGAATATTGTCTGTACATATTCTAACGTATTAGCTTATCACAAACTGACCAAATCTATTTGCACACAGGAACTCGCCAATAGGTGAAGCACTGCAAATGCAAATAGAGGTCCAAAGAAGGCTTCATGAGCAACTTGAGGTATCATATTTCTACAACACTGTTCTTTACTCCAATACACACACTAAAGATTCTTGCAATTCATGAAGGCACTTAGGATTATCAGTCATGAATTAAAAGTCTATTCCAGCATGTGAAAAAGCTTAAAACCAAGTGAATATCATGATTGTTGGAGCATTCAATAGAGGATAAGTTTATAGTAGTATCTAGAAAGACAAATTTATGTTTTCTTATTTAAACTGAGCCAGGTACAGCGACATTTGCAGCTCAGGATAGAGGCTCAAGGGAAGTACCTGCAATCGGTTTTGGAGAAAGCACAAGAGACTCTTGGAAAACAGAACCTCGGTGCAGCAGGGATCGAAGCTGCCAAAGTTCAACTCTCGGAATTAGTATCTAAAGTATCAGCAGAATACCCAAACTCTAGTATCCTAGAACCAAAAGAACTTCAAAACCTATGCTCACAACAGATGCAAACAACCTATCTACCAGATTGCTCTCTAGAAAGTTGCCTGACCTCAAGCGAGGGAACACAGAAAAACCTGAAAATGCTAGAGAACAACAGATTAGGACTAAGAACATATCTTGGTGATTCAACATCCGAGCAGAAAGAGATTATGGAAGAACAATTGTTCCAAAGAAGGGAGCTCACATGGACAGAAGGTCGAAGAGGGAATCCATATCTTTCAGCAATGGTGAGTGAAGCAGAACAAAGAATCTCATATTCAGAAAGAAGTCCAGGTAGATTATCAATAGGAGTAGGATTGCACGGACACAAAAGTCAACATCAACAAGGCAACAATGAGGATCATAAGCTTGAAACACGAAACCGGAAAGGCATGGATTCAACAACAGAGCTAGATCTCAACACACATGTTGAAAACTTTTGTACAAAGCGTACGAAACAGTTTGACTTGAATGGTTTCAGCTGGAACTGAGAAAGGATTAACCAAAAAGGTAAAGAGAGTTTCAATCATTTCTGAGTTCACACAGGAGAAGAAACCCTATTAGGGGACTCCTCAATCCAACGATACATTTTGAATCAAGATTCTTGAGGATAATGTACCAAACTATTCATTGTTTATTACCTCATATATATATACAGAGATTACCTAACTTGATAGACACTCAAGAATTATAAACCTAATCTTCATGAACAACTAAAAGCCCGTGAATTTGGGTAATCTAAAATACTTAAAAAAACAATAATCACCGATGCGTTGGATTGATCTAATGGGTTTCGATATCACTTATTACTGCAGACCGTACCAAACAAATCTTGATCAAACCATGCTCAAACCGATAAGCTAACCAGTCAAGTACCGGTAAAATTTATTTATTTTCACTTCTTTTATGGGAACATTGA